ACAGCATTTATCAACAGGCAGTCAAAGAGGCCCTGGGGCCAAACCCCAGCATCACTCCCGGAACTCCGGGGCATTCGGACAAGGCTGAAACACTAGTTCCATTGCAACACCCCGAATGGGACCCCATTGATGATGACAGTAAGAGAGGGCTGGGGACCTACCACCAGCACTTATTAGGGGGACTCCAGGAAGCAGCCAGAAAGCCCACTAATTTGAGTAAGGTAGGTGAGGTTCACCAGGGAAAAACAGAGTCTCCGGCTGCGTTTTTAGAGAGACTCTTGGAAGCCTATAGAGTTTTCACTTCTATTGACCCAGAGGCACTCAAAAATGCAGCAGCTTTAAATTTGGCCTTTGTTTCCCAGTTGGCCACAGATATTAGGGGAAAAAAATTACAGAAATTGGAGGGATTTGACGGAAAGAATAGGACTAAACTCCTGAACATAGCCCAGAAAGTTTATGATAACCATGACGCCCCCAAGGAAGTCCTAGCCAAAAAACTGGGGAAAGTCACAACTGCTGCACTCTAGGCACAAGAGACAGTCCCTCTGGACAGAAAAGGAGAAAGTGCCTTTTTGGCTTTAAAGAAAGCCTTAGTGTCAGCACCAGCCCTGGCCCTACCTGATGTCACCAAGCCCTTTTGGTTGTTTGTGGCTGAATGAGGGGGCATAGCCAAAGGAGTGCTAGCTCAGGCATTAGGGCCTTGAAACAGACCTGTGGCCTACCTGTCTAAAAGACTTGATCCTGTGGCAAGTGGATGGTCTACCTGTTTGAGGGCAGTTGCAGCCACCACCCTCCTGGTCCAGAAGGCAGATAAGCTCAGCCTGGGACAAGACCTGGTCATCACCGCACCCCATGCGGTGGAGACGTTGCTGAGAGGAGCCCCAGAATGATGGCACTCCAACACCTGCCTGACTCAGTACCAGGCCCTGTTGCTGGATGCTCCATGCATCAAATTCACCAGAGAAATGACCCTCAATCCAGCCACCTTACTCCCGGACTCCGACTCGTACGCATGCCCCTCCATGACTGTCTGGACACTCTGACAACGTCCACCACCAACTGCCCAGATCTGACTGATGTTCCCCTGCAAAGCCCAGGATGAGACCTTCTTCACTGATGAAAACAGCTTCATGGAAGACTGAGTCAGGTATGGGGGGGGGCTGTAGTCAGTCCAGGAGGACAGGTCCACTGAGCACAGGCATTAAACTGGGGGGCATCGGCACAGAGGGCTGAACTAATAGCTTTAACTCAAGCCCTGAGGTTAGGTCGAGACAAGGCTGTAGACATCCGCACTGACAGCCGGTGTGCATTCGCCACTGCCCATGTGCATGGCGACATCTACAGACAGAGAGGGCTATTAACACAGAAGGGAAAACTATCAAAAATAAAGAACAAATTCTGGCCTTATTGGAGGGAATCTGGGAACCCAGGGCATTGGCCATTATTCATTGTAAAAGCCACCAGAAAGGAGACAGCTTGGAGGCCTGCGGCAACCGAGAGCCCGATGATGCAGCCCAAGGAGCGGCCAGAGAACCAGTGAGGCCGATAGACACTGTGCCCATCTGACCCTTTGGCTGCCTGCCGGAAAGACCCACATATACCCTGGAATAAAAAAAAGAATAAAACCAAAAGTGAGGGGGTACAAAACTGGACTCAGGCTGGTGGAAAGGGACAAACGAACAAATTGTCTCCCCTGAGCCCTGGGGCGACAACTTGTTCATCAGTTCCATCACTTAACTCACCTGGGAGAATCAAAGTTAAGAAGACTAATGAGCTCTAAGTTTTCAGTCCCAGGACTGACCTCTATGGTCCAGGACATCAGTTCCAGGTGTCAGGTGTGTGCACAGGTAAACTCCAAGGCGAGACCAAGGAGCAAAGGTAATCGACTGCGGGGAAGAGAGCCAGGGGAACACTGGGAACTTGATTTCACCTAAAGAAAATCCAACAAGAGGTTCAAATATTTACTGGTATTGGCTGACACCTACTCAGGTTGGGTAGACGCTTTCCCCACTCGTGGAGAATCAGCCAACATAGTAACTAAGGTTTTGTTCCAGGAGATAGTTCCCCGATTTGGCATCCCTCGTTACCTGGGGTCCAACAATGGGCCTGCCTTCACGACACACATATCCAAATTGTTGGCAAGGGCACAACATATCGATTGGAAGTTACACTGTGCCTATCGCCTACAAAGTTCAGGGCAAGTGAAAAGGATAGAACCCTGAAAGAAACCCTGACTAAATATGTTCTAGAAACTGGCGGTAGGTGACCCAATCTGCTTCCTCTAGCCTTGTTAAGAGTTAGATGTACTGCATATGTGACAAGTTTACCCCTTTTAAAATCTTGTATGGGAGGCCACCACCACTCCTCCCTAAGTTAAAGCTTGAACACATAACAGAGAGTTTTTGTGTCTCTTCCATCTCTTCAAGCCTTGCAGATTCTTCAGAGTGAGATCCAGGCTACAATACAACAGGCTTGAGAAAAAAATGCCTTGCAACATTCCAGCCCCACAGTTTTAAGCCAGGAGACCTGGTCCTGATATCCTTCATTTGCTTGCACCGAGGACTTGACTAAATACATTCCCAAATCATTCTTGGCTACCCAATCTGCCACTTTATTTTGTGTCACCGTGTATGTTGTTCCACAAGTCTTGTATTGTAATAAAAAGGGGGGCCATGAACACCCTGGATTAACCACTGAACACTACAGGAGTAAATGGGCTGCCCCCATTTTAGTGCCCATTCTGGTGGGATTAGGAATAGCTGGGTCAGTGGCTATTGGAACTTCCTCCCTGATCCTTCAGGACACAAATTTTAAAGCCCTAACCCACCAAGTAGCCAGAGATTTGGGTCACCTGAAAGACTCGATCTGCAGATTTCAAAAACCAGGTTGATTCCCTAGCTGACATGGTCCTGCAAAATCAAAGGGGACTTGACCTCCTGTTCATAAAACAAGGAAGGTTATATGTAGCCCTAGAAAAAAACCTGTTGCTTCTATGCCAATGGTTAACTACCTTAGTTTCTGCTGTAGCAGGCCCCTTAGTTATCTTACTCCTGGCTTTTGCTCGTGAGACCTTGCATTATAAATGCTCTCACTAAATACGTTAGAGGATTGATGCAGTCAAACTGATGGTGTTGAGACAAAATTATGAGGTTTTGAAAGACATTTTAAAAAAATTCAAAGAGTAAATACAGGAATCAAAGATTTGATTAAGTTACAAGAACCAGTGGGGAATGAAGGACCCTCCTTAGCAAGACAGGCTCCATATTGCCGCTTGACCCACCTGGCTGCCCTTTAGATGAACTCAGAAGGAGGAAGCTTAAAAACCTCCTCCCTGTAGAAAGTCTCTTTAAAAATAACAATTAACCAAGTATTGTTTTACTAATGTTCTAACAGCAGGACGGTCTGCTTCTGTACCTTTTGTTTGCTTTACTAGTTTTATCCCATAGGGGGGCCTAGGAACTACTGGCCTCAAAGGTGTATAAAACATGTTTGTCTCTCCCCAGTGGAGGCTCGAGTCCGATGCTCGGCTCGGGTCCCGGCCGGTAATAAACTCCTGTGTGGATTTAGTATCGGTCTCTGGTTGGTTCTCTCTCACTGGGTGTAACATCCACAAGTAAAAGCAGAAGAAAGGCACCTAATGAGTACACAGAGGAATGGAGTAGCACCCTAAAAAGAAGGAAGAGTGGGGAAAATAAAAGGAATCAGGACCAAGGGGGTCGGCGCCACTTCCATCTAGAAGTGCATCTTACTTCTACAATAACTCCCTGGCTTCCTAAAATCAACACTTTGCTTGCTTGTGGTCTCACTGTTCGAGTGAATGAGGTGGGCCGACTGAACTGTCCTCGGACCGCCAAGGTCCGGGGATTCCTGGAGCCGCCAACTGAGGGAAACACCCGCACCAATTTAAACCCAAATACGAACGAATGGGTTTCGGGACGTAGCTCAGTGGTAGAGCTAGCTCAGCATGCACGAGGCTCCTCACCACAGCTACTTTAAAAAAAAGAAACGCATTCCGCAGGGTCAGATTACAGTTTTTAAAGCGCAGTAGCACGAACGTACCTAGTGCCACCGAGCCAGAGATTTTTCAATGGTTAAAATGGAACGTGTGTAGGTACTGTTCAGCCAGTGTTGCGTCTTCTCTGTCCCATCGCAATACTAGGAACCTGTTTGTTGAGCAGCAGCAGCGTGATCGCTTATCAATCACCTGCACAAGCACGGGAGTGTGCTCACGAGTGTGCGTCTGCGTCGCCGGGCGGCTGCGGCCCTTTCCCTCCCGCCCACTCACCCAGCGGCCTCGCGGGCGCGGAGGACCGCCCGGGGCCTGCATCCCCACGGCCAGGCCCAGCGTGAGGAGCGTCCCACCAGCGCGCCGGGCACCTCCCACCCAGCCCGGCCCAGATCGGGGCCACCCCGTCCCCGCCGTCCCTACCAACTGCTCTCCGGTCTCCGCCTCGCGCCACCGCTCGCCGCACTCTTCCGCCCAGGTCGCGCACGCGCGCCGCCGCCGTTGCGCTGCACGGCCGCTCTAGGAACTGAGGGGCTTAGCGTCTCGGCTCCTCTCGCCCGGGCTCTCGCCTCACCCCCTCAGTGGCCAGGGACTCCCGCCACCCCCTCGGCAGCGGCTCGCGCACGCGCGCCGACGCTAGGGTCCTGCACGGCCTCTCTAGGACCCTAGAGGCCTGGCGTCTCTGCTCCTCCGGCCCAGCTCCTGCCCCGCCCGCCCGCTCGGCGCCCGGACCCCGCCGAGTTCCCCTCTGCAGGAGGGGCCGACCCTGGGCTTGGGTCCGGCAGGCGCGCGGTTGCCACGGTGCCAGAGGCGCGGGAGGCCTGGCCCTGCCCCTCCGGGTGTCGCGAACAGGTACCGTGGGTAAAAGAGGACTCAGACTCAGATGGCAATTCACATACTTATCTTATATTGTCATAATTCATTTCAATACAATTACCACACACTATGCAATTATCACACAATATTAAGTCTGCCAATTACCACGTCCCTGTACCTGTACTGCGCAAGTCCTTATGGGAGCACGACGTTTCCTCCCGCAGGGTCAGAGGGTCCGATCCGTAGACGAAGGGCGTTGAGTCGGCGCTAGGCTATCTGCCTCTCCGCTTGCCTCGTCCTCTGGTCTCGTCTGGTCGGAGGCGATGCTCCTCCCAGTGGGATCAGCTGTGCATAGGTCTCGGTCGGTAGTCAGATCATCAGATTGACTGGTCGACTGGTCAGTGGGACGGATCGTCAACTTGCTTGGGGTCTTCAGCTCCTTTTATACTATTCTAACTGGGTGTTTGTGGTATTGGTTCAGACTTATCACACTGTCCATTTCGGGGCACACCCTGTCCAGTTCAGGGCACACCCTTATCAGTTCCATACTGCTTAAGGTTCTACTTTCATATCTTATGGTTACACATCACTCTTATGATTGTGTTATATTTAGGTTACAGCACTCTTAAAGTCACAGCACACTTTAGGATTACAGCACACTTAGGGTTCTACTGTTGTGCCCAGATCGTGGAAGTCCCCAAAGACCACCAAGGAGCTGATTCCGATGTAAACACACGAGGGTTGTTTATTCAAGCTCGAGCAGGGGCACTCAACCGTCATCGACACAGTGGATCAGGATTGAGAGCCCCGAATTTCAAATCAGCAGGGTTTTTATTGTGGCTACAGCAAGGTTTGGGGATTTTCCATTTAGCAGTTACATGATTGGTTGATATTTAGCAAGTATGG